AGAGAGACAGAGAGAGAGGGAGGTGTGATCTACCTGCACACCTGCAGAGAGAGAGAGAGAGAGGTGTGATCTACCTGCACACCTGCAGAGAGAGAGACAGAGAGAGATGTCTTTGTTGTAAATGTCTGTAACATGTCTGTAGATTTTATTTTACTTCTATTTTTTGTTTTGTTCTATGTTAATTTTATTATTTTTATTTGCTTTGGCAACACTGATTGTACCCATCGGTCATGCTAATAAAGCACCTTGAATTGAATTGAATTGAGAGAGGGAGGTGTGATCTACCTGCACACCTGCAGAGAGAGAGACAGAGAGAGAGGGAGGTGTGATCTACCTGCACACCTGCAGAGAGAGAGAGAGCTACTGGACAAACGACAGGCCCTCAGACCACGCAAAGCCTGTGGCCAAGATGGAGTCAACAACGAGATGCTGAGACACAGCAGCCCAAAGCGGCAACAAGCCCTGCTCAAACTCCTCAATCTCATCATGACAGCCGGATGTTTCCCCAAAGCCTGGAACCAAGGACTGATCACGCCCATCTATAAGAGTGGAGATAGACTCGATCCCAACAACTACCGGGGCATCTGTGTAAACAGTAACCTGGGGAAGGTATTCTGCAGTATCCTGAACACACGAATACTGGCCTTCCTTACCGAACACAATGTCCTGAGCAAGAGTCAGATTGACTTCTTACCAGATCACATTTACACCCTACACAAACTGATAGACAAACGCATCCACCAAAAACACAAAGGAAAAAATTGTGCCTGTTTTGTCGATTTCAAAAAAGCATTTCACTCGATTCGGCACGAAGGATTGTTTTAAAAAACTTCTCCACAGCGGCACAGGGGGCAAAGTGTACGACATCATCAAATCAGTGGATTCAGAGAGCAAATGTGCAGTGAAAATCAGAAACAAAAGGACCAAATTCTTCACCCAAGGCCGCGTAGTGAGACAGGGCTGCAGCCTGAGCCCAACAATGTTCAATATTTGTATCAACGAATTCGCAGGAATGTTGGAGCAGTCTGCAGCTCCTGGTCTCACACTACACCACACACAGATCAAGAGACCTGTAGGAACAGAAACCTGGGGAAGACCACTGGCAACTGGGCCACAGGAAGCACTTTCGCCAGTAAGACTCACTGTTGTGGTCAGTGCTGTCCAGCTTGGCCTTCAAGAGCATCCGCAGACGGGACACCTCCTGTCTCTTCAGCTCGTCCAGACGGGTCCGCACATGGTGACCCACGAAGTCCAGCTCCTTACTGAGCTTCCCGCTCTGAGAGAGACACAGGGGTCAGCTGACTGGACACTGCAGTACATTAACACTGAGAGAGAGAGGGGTTCATACAGACACACTGACTGGACACTCCAGTACATGAACACTGCACTGAGAGAGAGAGGGGTTCATACACACACACTGACTGGACACTCCAGTACAATAACAGTGTTCTATGGTGAACAGGGGTATAGATAGAGATCTTGAATCCATGTATAGGTTAAGACAAATGAAAGTGGTGGATGAATATATCGGCTTACAGTATATAT